CATTTGACTGGAGGCGAGACTGAAAAGCAGGTTTCGTAACATACCGCGACTTTGAAGTTGTTGGATCGACTCCTTGTAGTCAGTAGCCTGTCGCACGTCTGTTTCCATCTTCTCCTTGAACATGCGAAAATCGCGTTCCATAGCCTCCATGCGGTCGTTGTAAAAGTCTGGGCAGCGATCGTTAGTGAAGCGATTCAGAAAAGGTGCTTGTGCTGATCTGCGCGGCGTAGATGGAGGTCGATACGGTGACGGGTCTACCTGCTGCTGCCGAACAGGTGTAGGTGTAGGCTGGGGAAGATGGGACTGGGGTTTCTTTGGCTTCAGGAAAGGATTCGTCCCGTTGTCAGAAGTCATACCACATCCGACTTGACTGCCACGCACGTCTGCCTTGGCCGCGCCCAATGTGAGCGCGCCAACCGCGGTGCAGATGTCGTCGCAGTCGGTGTCGGCGGGTTCTTCGATGACCGGAGTGACGGGGCGGAAGTGGGAAGGGGATGAAACCGCTCGCGGACCTGACACACGAGCGATTCTCTGTTCGGATACACTGAGGGAGGTTGTGCGCTTCTTTAATTGAGGAAGCATGCCACCAGGCACTCTTGCACTGGGGTAGAAATTCGTAGACATAAGAAATGGTTGCACACCTTTGCGCTCTGCTTGCTCACTGTCGTCATCGTCATCTCTGCTCAGCATTGCTGTCGCCGGACGCGGCCCTTGCTGATAGGACTTGCTCCTAACATGGCTTCCGTGGCCGTAGGCTGACTTTGGTCTCGCAGCCCCGGTAGTCTTGGGAGCTCCACCAACACTGCCACTGAGCGTAGAGGCGGCAGGATGTCTCGCTGTCGGTTTGGAAGTAGCGCGCGACGTGGACGCTGCGAGTCCACGTGCCAGGGTACCTTTGATGCCATTCGACGTCTTGGGCGGCGGGGGTATTCTTCGAGAAATCGGCTCGCCGGCTTGCTCTGCAAGCGTCTTCCGTTGCTTGAATGCAGGCTCGGGTACTGGGAGAGTCAGCGACCTGTCCGGTGCGACTGGTATGAAGAGGGGCAGTTTACAGCCGGAGGGCTTGTGTTTCGCCGTGGGTATCGGCATTCCACTACGTGCGTTCGCGCCGGCTTCGTGCAATTCGCCCAGGGCTTTAGGAGGCGGCGAGGTGATGTGGGAGAAGGTGGACGGCGGTTTGATGCCCGAGCGCTTCGCGATACCCTACAATGACCGTGAGATTAGACTCGAGCCGGGCAAGGGATGGGGATACGTACCGTGTTCTCGTTGGCAGTCTCCATCATTAAGTCGTATGTACCTACGTCTAGCGAAGGGAAAGATAACAGTAAAGCATACCCCGGCGCGGCCAAAAGCACAAGCGCGTCGTCGTTGTCGTTGACGTTGGTGTTGCGGATGTCGGATATCGATTGTTTGGGCCTGCGCTCGGACGGTAAACAGAGGAAGGCGCGATCCCTGTCATCGCATGCTAGTTTCGGTTAGCCGACGCAGCGAGAGCAACGCCCACCTGCATCTCGACAACTTGAGCGGCCTGCACTAGGTCATTACCAGCGTCAATTACGCCAGCCCTGGAGTGCGAATTACGGTCGAATGTAGCCTTCCCGACGTCGGCTCGATCCAAATTAGCCGAGTACGGCACGATATCAACGACCAGATTTTAGCAAGCCGACGTCAGGGTAAAGGTTCAGTTCGACTCCGAATCGAACAATGGCTGCATCCTTCTCCATCCGAGAGCGACGCGTCGAGAACAGCGCAGAATTACGTTGTGACTTGCTAATAGAGCTGCGCATGTGATGGCTTGCAACCCCGCGCTTCCAAGTTAGGCTTCTCTGCTTATCGTCAGCCTGGGGATCAGAATGTCTCGCCTCTTCAAGCCCCTCCCTACCTCTTCACATCTCGAAAAATGCCCTGAACATATCTTTTTCGCGCTCTATATAAGTTTATATACTAACGTCATCCCAATGGCCGCGAAGGAGCATACATTCAGCGCCGAGGAGTCGACGCTTTGCGAGAAATGTTCCGTCTTGCGCATCAATGACAGAGAACTAGCTGGCCACGAGGTTCAGAACGACGATGGAGAACAAATATTGAGTTTCACTCATAGGGGGTCATGCTTTAGGTCGCTGTCGCTGGATTTCACACATCATGACCTTTTACCAGACTTGCCTTATTTGAGAGCTTCGGCTGAAGCAGGATGTGCGTTTTGCGCCATGCTACGCAGTGCCGCACTTGGAAAGAACTTGCTCGAACATTCTCAAGTCACATTCGGACTAAGCTATCGCTGGGAGTTCAATACAATTTCTCAGCGTGGAAGTTGCGCACTCGAAGCGATCATGCGAGTGGAACATGGTGAGCCTGGACGCAATCAACCCCCTTTTTGTACGTTCCAAGTCGACTGCAAAGAAGGTGATACTTGACACGATATACTGGTCGTTCTGTCTGATTGTTCCAGGTGATTGCCAGATGTGGCTCAAGACAGAACTCGCCCCATGGGCCCAAACGTTGTGCGACGAAAATGTCGCTTGGATGAGAGGAATCCTGAACCGATGCGACGCTGAGTGCGGCTTAGTCTCAGCATCGAATTTCTTGCCAACCCGTCTTATCGACCTTGGGGACAATGGCCAAGGCGGAAGCATCTGTTTGATAGAGACTTCGGATGCGCGATTACAGCCATCAAGCGGTTATGCCGCGCTTAGCTATTGTTGGGGTACGGAAGAACAAGCTGCTCGACAGCTTACCACTACATCTGCGGTGTTGTCGCAGCGTCTTGACGGCATCCTCTTCGACGAGATGACACCCGTCATGCAAGACATGGTCAAGACAGCACGAGCCTTATCAATCAGGTATATATGGATCGATGCACTTTGCATTGTTCAAGATGACATAGAAGACTGGGCACGTGAGGCCGAGCGCATGGGGTCGGTTTATGCGAATGCCTTTGTCACAATCTGCGCTGCATCAACTTCCTCTTGTCTGGATAGCTTCCTTGATCGACCTGCCGCACCAGTCCGCGTCGCCTTCCAGTCTTCGTTAAAGCCCGGTATAACCGGTCATCTCAACCTGCACTCTGAACGTCATCCGCACCGGGTACCAGGAAGTGACTTTGACGTTACCCGGCGTGGCAAAGACCTGAGATGTGGCGCATGGTCCCTCCGCGCTTGGACGCTACAAGAAGAAGAGTTGTCTCAGAGACTACTTTACTTTGGAGCTCGACGAGTTCATTTCTCATGCCCATCACGAAGGATTACCGAAATGGAGCCTGCTTCATCGGATCATGTACCACTCTTCTCCCATCAATTGTGGCGGTACAAGCAAGGAGAGCCCGATGTAAACATTCTCAGAGATTGGCACGAACTTTTAAGATCCTATGTTGGTCGCCAGAGCACTAAGTCTAAAGATCGCTTTGCGGCGATAGCAGGACTGGCGAAGCTTATGGCCGAAGCAACTAAATGGACCTACGTCGCAGGGCTGTGGAAGGACGTACTACTTGAAGAGCTATTTTGGTACACCGGCCAATGGGACGACATTACTAAACAGCAACTGTTCGCACGATTGATAGCCAGAACGCCTGATACATATATCGGCCCTTCATGGAGCTGGACGCACTGCTGCTACGTGAGATTCGCAGAGCTCAATCCAACAAGGTCGAAAAACCCACGATCGCCCAGCTATAGGACTGTAGACTTTCGCTCTGAGTGTCATCACTTAAAAGCTATATGTGCATCTGAAGGTGCCAGTGCCAATCCTTACGGGCGACTCACAGACAGCAAACTTCGCGTTGTTGGCAAAACCATCAAGCCGGACCAAACTTGGAAGCTGATGGGGGAGTGGAACACCCACCTAACGATGACGTACGGCCTCTACGTAGCGTACTGTCATGTGGATTGGAAAATGGATTATGAGAATATAGAGCTGGACGATCCAGGCGTCTCCCTCCTGTTACTTGGAAGTGACTATGGGCCGTTAGACTTTGAGTACCGGGGGGACCGAACCTTTGACGGCAGTGAAGGATCTCCGCGTATATTAGAGTTTAACGAGGCCGGCGAGATGACTGAAGAAAGCGTCCGAGCGTGCGAATTACCAGGCACCCGTAATGCACACGGGCTGCTCATACATCCCATTGACGGCGGCGCCAGATACATCCGAGTCGGTCGGTTTTGGACTACGCAAGTCGGGGCATTACTCCCATTCATAGAACGCCCATTTGAAGACGTCGAGATTGTTTGAATGTGACTAAGAAAGTCTAGCATGGTTCATACGCCAACAATTTTCTCATCACCTATCGCGACCTCGAATGCTACAACTGTCCCCCGGCCTGCGGAGGACCCTTGATAATGTGATTGCTGGGAAACGACATGTGGATATCTCAGCAACCCCCATACCCGCGACGCTATCGATGACGAGCAACAGTGGCGGGAAAGCAGGGAAGGCAGAACTTGACAAACACGGGATACAGGTCATGGGTTCAACATCTCTCAGTGTACGATTTCTTTTTCTGACAGTTACCAACGAGCTTTCCTTCAGAGTATGTCGCACCAGAGGATTCAGGAACGCGATATGTAATATTCGCCTCCCCCAAATGCTTGATCAAGTACAAAATACTGTATACACTGCGTCGTGTGCATCCATCTTCTCTTGCACTTTATTGACCCATAGCAGCACGAAAACGCAGTAGATCACAGTAATATCTCCAAAAAGGGTTGCTAGTGGAATCATACATACCCCCTGATCAAAAACTTCTGGCAACCTCTCCAAACTATAGCTGGGAGGACATTCCCCTGCCTTTGAGACCCCATCGATCATTCCCAGTAGAGGAAAAAGCCGAAGCCTTGATGGACTAAGAGAGGGTGGTAAATCTAGAGATATATATTAATATCATATCTTGCGCACGCAAAAGCAGATGCAGTGCTATCAAATAGCCACTAGGATATTACCTATCCGTGATCTTCATCTTCCGTCCAATATCCCGCTACCCCATCGATCCCCCCATCCGTCCTCATCCTCTACCGTTTCCTCCTCCCCCAAACCTTCAAAAACTCCACCTTCTCCTCGACCCCCAAGCCAACCCTCTTAACCCTGCCCAACCTCGCCAAATCCTCCGCAACCCTCTCAAGGACCTGTTGTTCCTTCTCACTCAGAACACCATCGTCGCCATTGACCTGACCACCAACATCCACATCCATGCCATCACCCGCCTCACCATGCTTGCCACTGAACCCGTTCCTAAAGTCCGGTTGATCGAAGATGTTCGCGTCGTAACCCGATGCCTTGACAGAGTTCTGTTTCGAATTCGATGTAGAGCGAGACGGCGAGTCTTGGTTGCTACTGTTGTATACGCGCGAAGCAATGCGGACGCGCATTTGGTGTGACGGCTTACTGAGGAGGCCCCAGAACCAGGAGGGGTAGCCGCCCGGGACGGGGGTTGTGACGTCTTGGGGTGTGTAGCGGAGGTTGACAGGGTAGATCTTGGTCTTGCCGTCTGCGCTCAGCAAACTGGGGCATAGTGGGAGGATGCCCCTGCCGTTTGTTGTGGTTGTTTCGGGGAATACGCAAATTATCCTGCTGGGGTTCTCGTCGGTGAGTTGTTGGAGGGAGACGAGCTTTGAGGCGTCTGGTGGAGAGAGGACGGGCGGAGAGAACGCGTGTACTATCGCGCGGAAGAGGGTTATACGTTCGACTTTTCGGTGGTGGGGGTATGAGCGCGTGAAGATGGGCTGGAAGATGCCGGCGAGGTAGAGCGGGTCGAGCGGTGACGTGAAGGAGGACGCGATGATTGTGCCGGCTTTGGGGAGGTTGTCTTTCGCAGAATGTAACTGTCTATGGGATGTGTTAGCAATAGTTCGTCGCATTGAGCCTCGAGACTTCAATCGTTGTGAATAATTTGACATACCCTCTCTTGACACCGTCAACCTGCAAGTCCACCCACCACACGCCAGGGATGCCCAGCATCAGCCACAGCACCCCATACTTCAATCTCCTACCCACGGAAATCCATTCGAGAATGCAGAAGTATAATAGTGAGAAGGCGACGAAGAAGGGTGCGCGCACGCAGAAGAGGAAGAAGTATAGCGGCTGCCAGATAATGCCGACCGGTGGGGGAGGGACAGGAAGGAATGGCGCTATAGCCGTACCTGCAGATGCACTGTTAGCTATGGACTTGCTTTTGTGTTGCGAACGACAGGTAGTGGGTACATGTCGCTGGCGGGAAACGGCGACGTGTAGTAATGGGATTTGAGAACCGGTGGCACTCTGGCGCAATCGCGGAGGGATTACTCAAACGTACCTTTGTCGCGGAATTGACTGTATCTCTCCATGACGAGTGATGTCTAGCAAAGGAAGATGCAGATGTGGGCGTATTGTCACCGAGCCATGTAAGGCGAGGCCGATTTGCGGTAAACGCGAGCGAAATGTGCCTTGGCAGAATTGGGCACTTTCACACAGCGAGGCTATTGTAACGAAGCAAAGAATTGAGGGGCAGCGGTGCAGGTAACGGCTGGATAAGCTTCTTACAATGGAAGGGTCCAACGTGGCAAAGACGTAATGCGGGCTGAGTCTGGGGCACTTTTGGTCACGCGAGTCATGTATTTTCGACATGTGAATGCCAAGACCATCGTTCTGTTGGTTAGTGAACGTCATGGGTGCATGTGACAGTGCAGACAGGAGGAAGTCTATATGGTACGACACTTCTAGAGCATCTAGTAAGATTCTAGATTGTGGCCTGGCTGTTGGAGTAGTATTGACTATCTAGAAACTACCTGCCTAGCATTCGACGGTGCCTACAGGCGCCGTTCGCTCCTGCCAAACTGTGAAAACACACCTGTGGACGTACATGAGGGAAGAGCAAACCAAGTCAAACGAGCACCACCAATACACGCTCCAGTCGTGGGATGAATAGACGATGCATGTCCCAGCCAGCAATGCAAACCAACAACAAAGCATACTGTACAAAGGAAATGGTATTGATAGTACTGCAACGCAACCCCGAAGGGCTCACGCGCCGCATATGTAGAAAGGGGGTATGTGCCAATATTACTGCTTATTTTCGCGGCTCCACAAGCCAAATCGACTCCATTCTGCGCCGTGATCCTCCTGTTTTGTTGCGTAAAAGAGGAATGTGACTCGTTGCAGCGCGGGCGCTGGTGGGGGTGGGTATCGAAGCACATTGCGCCGAAGCCATGCTCGCGGCACTGAAAGTCAAACATGCAGTCTGAACCTGCAAGACGCTCTTGAACCGCTAGTCTCGCATCTGCCCCCTCCAGACCGCCTCTCGATGCAGATTACAACTGATTACAAAGTACAAGTTGGAAGCCGCAAGAGCAGTGCTCCTACAGCTTCACCTCGAAGAAAAGTGATTATGTCGGCGCGGTGAAAAAGGGCATGCGCAAGTGTTCACTCATCACTGTCGTCTCAATTCATGCTTATAAAGCAACATCAAGCACCAGACTGACATCGCTGACCTGCTGGCCGGCAAGATCCTCAAGTACAGGTATCAGGTCGAGGAGCTCGTTGTCGTGTGCGTCAGAGAACCAGCTACTGATGGGGACGGCGTGTTGCGGGTGGAAGATGTACGACGTGGGCGAGTTATCGATGATGATGGTATCTTTGAGGTCGCGGCCGATCTGTGAAAGATCCTGTGATAGGTTAGCATTGAGCAAGCGGAGACAACATTGGCAATCATACCTTGACGTAGTTGCCCTGGTGGTTGTAGCAACTTTCGCGGAATAGCCGGTGGTGAACAACGCCGTGGATGTCAAGTTGGTCGAGAAGGGGGTCACCGTACTAGTATCGTCAGTATGAAGCATGTATTTGTGAGTCCATCGTGTGCTTACCTTTGAGACGGACGCGGTGAACACGACGACCTCGTAGAGCTCGCCAACCCTCTTCATAAACTGGTCGACGCCTGGTCGCTTGATGACATACACGTTGTGGTATTGGCCTTCAATCTCGACAGGGATGGTGAAGTCGGCTTGGTGCAGAATCTGGCTGCGTTAGCAAATCGAAGCAAATACAGCGGCAGTGGAACGTACCTTAAAGCTGCTGTGGACTAAAGTCTCATCCAGGTCGAGTACCAGACACTTCTTTCCTTGGAACCTGGGTGCGATGGGTCCCAAAAGGTACTTCTGTTGCTCTGCCGCCTCTGCAACGTCTGCGGTCTGGTGCTGAACAGCGACCTGTCTCTCTGCCAGCGGGGGTGGTGGAGGAAGATCGACCTTGGGGTGCTCAGCCTCGGCCTCTGCGCTTGTCTCCTCTCCCTCTTGATGAACATCATTGGTCGATAGCGGCACATCTTTCATCTCAATGTCGTTGTCGATCTGCTTCTGCTCCTCGGTCTGATCCTGTATTATGCGCTCTTGCTCTGCTGACGGCCGAGGAAGTACCGGAGTAGCGGTGGGCGTAGGGTTTGTGATGCTTATCTGGGGGTGACCAGTCTGCAGGGTGCCGGGCTGGGGCGGGGAAACTGTGTCTGTTGGCTGCTTCTGGGATGGGCTTCTTGTCACGACCTGGGGTTGGTCTCCGACTGACGCCTGCTCGGTTGTGCCGTCACCATGGCTGGGCTTGTCGGCGAGACCTGAACCTAATGTGTCGTTTCCCGTCTTCTCATCAAGTGGGTCTTTCGAGTCAGTGTTACTCGATTCGGCAACAGTGGGTTCCTGTTTCTTGATGGGTGTTGACTGGGAAGTGCGTCCAGCGGGCACCTTCTGGGCCTGCTTGACATTCTCCAAAGGTGTAGCATCGTCGGTTGTGCGGGACTCCTTGGGAGCGAAGCAGGGCAGACAAGACAACAGGCCGCCAGACTTCTTGGTCTTGCTCCGTGTTGATGCTGGACGGTTGGCCGTGGCAGGCATTGGGGGCACTTGCTCGTTCTTCTCGGAGGGGGCTGCGCGCGGGTGGGAGCGCTTGCTGCTCGCCGTGCTGCCTGCGCGTCGTTTGCCCATGAAGCTTCGTTTGGAATGCTTGGAGCCTCGCCCAATGCTCTCAGCGTCTGCTGCGGTTGCGCCGCTGAGGCCGGTGTTGGGAGTCTCGTTGGACTGCGAACCGGATCGCGGGACGTTCAAGAGGGAACGCTTCTGGGTCGAGTCACCTTCAGCAGCTGCAGTCGAGGGGCCTTGCGACGAGGATTGGCCTGGAGCGAAGGAGTTGGTGGCAATGGCGCTTTGCATGGCAGCTGCAGCGTGTTAGTAATCAAGTATTCGAGGACGTTAATGTGGTGGTAAGCGACAAACATACCGGTGCCGTTGGCGTGCTCCGACGGCCCTACTGCCTTCTCGCTAGACATGCGGGTTGCATCAGCAGAGAGCTGCGTGGGCTCGGTGCTCATGGCTGCGCGTCGAGTATGTCAGACAGGCAGCGCGCAGGTGTCGAGGGCGTAGTGATAGGCTCGAGGCGGGACTGAGGGCGCCCTGGGTCGTCGCGTGGTGGAACTCGCTCGTGGGTGGGAGCGGTGGCTGGCAGACTGGCTGGCAATGGCGTGACCCGGTCGCGATTGCTCAGATTGATGCGCGAGATGGAAGGAGCGGTCGCCGGTTCTCGCAGCTGGAGCAGTCGCTATCGTCGAGGGAGTCCGAGGGAAGGAGCGAGGGCGACGGGGAGCGAAGCTTGGATGCGCTGCTTGGGATGAGGCTGGTTCGCTAACGCGGACGGAAATGAGACGCCGTCTTTCACCGTCATCAGCGCCAAAGCTCCACAACAACTGCCAGTTCACTGCAGCGGCACGGTTTTCTCACTCTGTCCTGACGCGACTGCGCCTGTGTTTGCGATGCGGCTCTGCTGCTGCTCGATGAATACAATGCGCTCACGGCGACAGTCGTCTGGAGAGCAGTATCGGGGCTGTGCAAGACGGCACACTTGGGCGTGACAGGGGCCCTCTTTATGGGGGACCCCCAATAACCACACCTCGCCCCTAGCTCCAATCGCCCTAGCAGCAACATGGCCAGGCCCATATACAATACCTACACTCCACGCTGCACATCTCCAAGGGCAGGACTATTCATCATTCATCTATCCAATCACGCCCGCGACCCCATCGCGGACGCGGCGTGTCACACAGGGAAATGACAGCCAAGCATCTTGCCCCAGGGCACATTAGCCATAGTCCGCAGCCAACACCTCCATTCTCGATTGCCTCTAGGCCCGAGAGAAATACGCTTTCGGGCCCTGCATAATCTCGTCTTCGCGAACCTTCAAGAGCGACCCATTCCCAGACCAGGCGACCGTTCGTGCGGCCGCATTTGCAGTTGACTCACGGTTAGGCGCCATCTTGCCATGGTACGGGGAAGCGACGTCGCGCCAACCTATCACAACGCACATCAGCCGTAAGACCCGATGCGCTTCTGCCGCCAGATGCTGGTCCAATATTGGTGCACCGGCATTATCCTTCCAGCGACGCGCAGCACTTACCAGCCGACTCTCAACACACTCGTCATGTTCCTCGTCGTCGCAGACATTGCAGCGCTGGAGTCGTTGTTCTTGCTGTCACATGTCAGAGCCTGTCGTGTTCCACAGTGGCAAGCGCTGTGCAGGACGGCCCGTCGCCGTGCCGATCTTGCAGTCTCATGCGATGGGCATCCATGTCCGCAGAGGTCACGAGGTCACGAGGCCGACGTCAATGGTTTGCGTCTGCACGCTATCCGCCTCCCCCGCTGTGGTGGTGTGCAATATGCCTCGACGCAAGAGGCTCCCCGCAATGCGCGCCCACGCCGAACGACGCGGGTGAGGCGATCTACGCTCACAAGATCCGGAGAATACGAGCGGAGGATCAACCGACCGTTGAACGCTAATCTGTCTCTCGTACTTGAGACACGCCCCAGTCGCACAGCCAAGTGGCCAGAGTACACGTTCTCGTCACTGTACGACAGTTCTCGAAGTGCGTCCTAAACAGCGGCGTTGTTCCTGATCTCTCACGTAGCGCACAAGGTCGGCATACGCGTGACCGGTCAGTATGCTCCCGCAAAAATGTCAAGCCTCCTCCCTATTGAGAAGGTCGACTTCGATTTCTTACAATCCTCCATTGTCATTTTCTCTGCTTCAGCTGCCTGAGGTAGTAGTAGACGTTGTCTATGTCATTTGCGGCACGTTCTGTACCCTGGCTCGCCGTCTGGACTGGTGGTGATGTCGCTCGCTATGGCAGAAGCTTCTGTCGCGTCATTCCTCTGGCTGTGCAGGACCTGCAGTATAACTCGGTCGTTGTTCGGTGTGGGATAGAACCGGATAAAGATGCATGCGACTTCGGTGGTGTGCATAGACTTCAGCACAGCTTCCTAGGAGCCCTATGTTGGTATCGGTATCCGATGATATATGCGTCTGGACATTGTTTCGCATGGTCGAACCCACGACTGTGAGTATGCTTTGGGCAGCTTCACATAGCGGGACGCATCGACTCCATATAGCTTCCGCAGCAGACCAACTCAGTCTAGCGGTTTCCAGAAGAAGCTCTAGCGACGGCAGCCAGCAACGCTATGCTTTCGCGCACCAATCACGACTATTTTGTTTTCTGTTTTAGCTATTTGGGAAGACGATTGTCTCCATCTCAACCCAAAAGAGCTTCGGAATTTTGGGGATCGGAGCCAAAACATCTGCCCATTGGTGTTTCGGAAGGAAAAGTGGGCATGGCGGCTGTTTCTGCATAGCGCACGTTGCTGATCTTGTGTTGCTTGTTCGGCTCAGCATCTCTAGTCCCAACTGCATAATCGTTACAAGATCTGGCATAAGCAATAGAGCATCTTGGCAAAGACAATGGGCGAGAGATCAGAGACCTCCTTTGATTGACTTTTGACAGGAATAGCTACACATACATTCGGTTCAATGCTCTCTCGAACAGATGGAAAGACTGGTCCGAAGTATTGAAGACATTATAGCCGATCAACACGTTGTAACGTCTCTCTTTGGAATACGTACAGTCTCGCTATCCGTATATAGCTTTGATCGGATCGGACATTGAGCCTCAAGCTTTCGGCGATCACGACGGCGAGGCGAAAAACGTGGAGTGTGGGTCGGAGCTCCGCATCTCACGTATGCGGCGCGGTAGTATAGTCTACGGGTCTTCTCGAGCGCAAAAGCAAGCACTACTGACGCCTCGAAGTCGGTACTCGCCCAACAGCCACACCGAAACAGCCGCCTTGCTTATGTCGACCAAAGTCAACTACGACTTGTGTCGTGAACTCACCCTGACAGTGACACGTCCGTGAGAATGTACTCCTAACGATGACACTCGGCGGGGAGGCTAGACGGCAGGCCAGTTTCGACGTATATGCAGGGAAAAAGCAGAGCATGAGTGATGCGAGGCAAGGTGTTTAAGATACATACGACAGCCATGCATTACTGAGATGGTTGATGCTGTGTGAGCTGAGCTGCCCAACTTCCACTCCTTTCCGTGATTGATTCACGTCGCCAGTTTCTTTCGACTATGGCGCTGGCTACTAATCTTCAACCGCTGGCTTATGCCGTGGCCTACGTTACCTTCTTTCTGGGCACCACCTCGACCTTTCTGAGGTTTTACAGTCGTTACGTCGATGAGAGTCTGAGGAAATGGAGACGGGATGACTACTTCGCTGTGGTGGTTTTCATCTTCAGTGTCGCTCAGCAGGGTGTCTTGCACATGTTCCTCTACTGGGGATGCGGGCTGTAAGTACCGAATAGTTACCTTATGTGGAGAAGACAGGACTAACCGTTTTGCGCAGACATATGGACGCTCTTAATACCTTCCAACAACTGGAAATTGTCAAGGTATGCACCAAAGCAAGAGACATACTAGCGAGGACATCTTTACTGACCAAACACCTCAGTGGCTCTTTGTCGAGGAGATAGTCTACTACTCCGTACATTGGGTTATGAAATCCGCCTTTCTCTTCTTTTACCTCCGGCTTGCGCGGGAGAGTGCCGAGTTTAGCTATGCTGTCTACGCTGGCCTTGGTCTTAACACAATCGTGTGGGGATGCAACATGTATGTCCTCATGTTTCCTCACTCTCAATACCATGGAACTGACATCTGAGACTAGGCTTCTAGCTTGCATCCAATGCATGCCCTTTGATGAGATCCTACACCCTGGCACCCATCCCGATGCCTACTGCATGAACAAACTCATCGTCCTCCTGGTGCCATGTCTTTTGGTAAGCATAAACCATAGTACATCACCCCGCAGACCACCCCACTAACCTTAATCCCCAACAGAACATCGGCCTAGACATGTACATCCTCCTTCTCCCCATCGCCATGCTCTGGAACTGCCAAATCAGCTTCCGCAAAAAGATCGCCGTCCTCAGCGTCCTCACCTTCGGCAGCATCTCCGTCATCATCGCCACCTTCCGCCTCATTCCACTCCTCGAATTGGGATCTCAATCTGACGAACCCATTGACACATCCTGGGTTCTCGGCAAAATGATCATCATCGCCGCCCTCGAAACGCAATTCGCCATTGTCGCCGTCAACCTCCCTTCTCTCAAGAAACTCTGCACCAACTTCACCGGAGAAGAGAGTCTCGTCGAGGAACCGCAGAACTTGAGGTGGAAAGCGAAGAAATTGACGAGCCAATGCAGCGACGACTCTGACGACGACGAATTCTACGTCTCGGGTGGAAACGGACGCGGATACCATTGGCGCAAGAGCAAGGCTAGCTCGCATACCAGTTTCCGGACAAGCATCGCACCCAGTTTCGCTACGGATGAGGAATCGCTTCAGGCTAGTGTTGCTGTTGCGCTTCCGGTGCTGTGGGTCAAGTCGAATGTTCAGACGGTGAGGGTGGGTAGGGGGCATGTAAGCAGAGGGCATGTGGTTAGGAGTCTGGTTAGATGTAGTATGGAGAGGGTTGAGGATTGCTTCCCCAGGGGACACTTTTTGAGGACGTATGGCAGGCCGGAGTCGAGGCGGCCAGAGAGTAGATTGCCGACTTGTATGGAAATATGATGTTTGTTACGATTGGATTGGAATGATGCTGTTTACTAGAGACTATGTGTAAACGACGGCATTGGCGTGCGTTACCTTCGCAGTATCATATATGGGATCTTGATGTTCAGTATACCAGGTATCGGTACCACCCCGAAAGAATATAAGGCTTTTACTACTATTTCTACTTCTCTTACCTGCTCCCACCCTCGCTCTTCTATCACTACACATATACTGAAATTCCTCGCCCTCTCATCTAGAATATAACCAGAACTCGTGGCCCAGTGGTAAGGCGCTCGCATCATATCTGTGATTCCAGCTCAGCAAGGTGCACCTTGACTAAGGCCGTGGCCGCAGGCAACTGTGGTACCGTCTAATGGGTGGATGAGAGCACTCTTACTCGACGGTAACGACGTAGTGAAGAGGTTGGTGCTGGACACATCCGCTGGCGTAAACAGCGTGATAGTGGTTCTGCGACTGCGAGAGACGTCTGTTCGAATCAGACCGAGTTCATTTTTTTTTTGGTTATACTAAGTAGATGGAGGAATGATAGGTAAGAGGGGTGGTGGGGCTGTGCGGGTGTAGGCGAGGTTGTCATAGGGTTTTGAACGGAGTGCGAAGGAATGATTAGACGCGTCGCTAGGAAGAGGGATGCTTATATGCACCTTAGCTGCATCAAATTCATTTTAGTCTTCCCCGTGTGTTGAGCCACTGTGTCCCTAACTGTCTTCTCGCGCAACTTCTTGATACCTGTCTCAACGACCCTCCTACTTCCTAACAGGCTGCTTCTTGGGTGAAACACACCGTGATCCCACTGGATCAAGATGACTAACCGCACCCCTTCTACCATGACTACAGGCGGAACTGGGAGCTTGCTGAGGACTTAGATTCGCTACATGCTGACCTGAGCTATCGCTAGAAGCTTCTCGAGAAAAGCCGAAATCGAAAGGATCCGGTAACTCCTGCGCATCATCGTCGTATGTATTGTGACTTTCGGGAAGCAAAGGCTGCGGCCCCGAGCGAGGAGGTTCGAGAGGCGAGACTGGTGACCACGGGTCGATTTGTTGTGGCGATGTTGGCCAATCAAAGTTGCTGGCTGATGGCAGTGGTGGGAGTTGTATGGGCTCGTTGTCAGATGAGGGCGTCATCAAGTCTCTTGCGAGAACGAGCGCCTCAAAGAACCAAAGAGCACTGCAAGATTTCAGCGCAGCTCTATATGCGTGGAAAGTTGTACTTACCACTCGATTGTCCCCATGACAAGTTTCGCGACCCATAGTTTGAATAGATACTCTTTGTCGGCTTGTCGGTACCAACCTAGAAAGCACATGAGAAGAAGGTCGACTAACCAGAGTACGCCCATTAAGACGTGAATCGCAAGATCGACTTTTACGCTGTATGTACTCGGATACACGAATCGGAATGTGATGGAGCCGATGCAGACTGTCATTGTGAAGGTAGCCTCGTGGCAGGGTTAGCTGTGTATGTGGAATTGAATATCGAGACATACCAAGCCCATCGAGAAGAACAGGACGTTTTCTGGAAGGGACGGGTACAGCCAGGCGCTGAGACAGAGAATAGCGATGGCAAACGGGATCCGCACTGCGTGCAGAACGACTGACTCTGTCCATCCCGACGGAGGTCCCAGCTGAAAGTAAGCTAGCATATTGCTCATGCTGATCGAAGCGAGGAAAACAGTTCGTGATGAAGTTTGAAGGATACGCCTGTTAACGAGAATGGGACAATACTGTTGTGAAAGTTCGAGATGATAACGGTGAGTATAGTATTTTTGTACCAAACACTGTCATGGCTGCCAGACAAGACTCACATTTGTCTCAGACACTTCGAATACATGCATACATGCCCCTAAGCCTGGCCGATCTAATTTCCTAAATTGCTATCAAAGACAGCTGTGTTGAGACACCAGAGACACGGAGCTTCCACAATCCGATCTACGTGAACTCGAAACGTTGCATAACTCTTCATCATTGTAGTCGAAAGCCTGCTTGTGCATGTATCTCTTCTTGAGGCCTCTCTCCAGACCAGATCCCATAGCCTAGAATGTTGGCCATCGGCCTAGGTTGCACGCCTGCCGTACGTGATATTCTATCTCTAAATAGCGTTCCATACGATTAATCCGGCCCTGAAGGTCAACAGCAAGAGCCAGAAGATGTTGCAAGCCCAAGAAGACTGCGATAAGGCCAACGTATAGGATGAGGACAGACACGAAGAAGCAGAAGAATGCAACTGCTGCCAGGAAAGCGATGAGCATTTCCGCGTCGACCTTGACTAAATCGCGCAGCATTGGTAGTCGGTTTGTAGGAACTGACGGCTCTCCGTTGGGTTCTGTCGTAAGTCTCGATCGGAGATTAAGCGGGGAAATGATGTGTAGCGAGATATCTGTATCAATAACCCCCAGAGTCATATATATTCAGTCCTTTGCTTGCTGCAAAACAAGCGCGCGCAAGTGCAGTCAACACCTGTTGCATGTGGAATGTCACAGAATAGCCTTCAACGGCGTGTCAACTGTGATTGCGATCTCCTTTGAGATGCGTCGCGAATGCCGTAGCTGCCAAGCTGTGACGACTCGCTGCTCGAAAGAACTGGTGGGATTCACAATCTAGAACTACTTGGATGTGATGGCATGGCAGTAGAATGAGGAGTAAAGAGTATGCTATCGTTTCACTCAACTTCCCTAGATGTGCCCGCCTCGTTGCGCCACGCGCTAGTGGCGTGTTTAGCTCACGCACAGACTCCTCCACCTCCTTTCCCGGACTGGTGTCTTCGGGTCTGTTCTTCCCATCACCAAAAGGACGCGCCGCGCACTAGTGACGAGGCTTCGACAACAAATCTTATCCAAACAACCGTCTGGTCAACGTCAAAGTCAAAGTGCAAGTCGTGCCGCGGCGGACGCGCCGCCCCACGCTTCCCGTCCTTGGCTTGACCAATGGCATCGCAGAACGACCTCCCTAAGGTGACAAGCTCAACCACAAGCAAGCATGTGGATATAGACGCGTCCCAATGGTTTCATCGTCCTGGGTATTCACAGAGAACTACGGAGTGAGCGGTGGGTAGCGTGGCTGCTTAGTCCTCCGCATTAGGAAGTCCAGACTTGGATCTCGTGTGACGAAGCAAACGATGGCGTCCACGGTACACTACGAACTATGAGAATGAGTCGGTTGTGTCGTCCCTATATGTAGGTAGAGATTCGCTTGATTAGGCTTGTCGCGAGACGATTCTGCGGTTCTCCTCCCAAGTCATTCTTTTCCAACAGTCACTCGTTTTCAACATGCTTACTTTCTCTTCTTTCTTTGTTGCTGTGCTGCTAGGCGCCACCGGCAGCAATGCTGCGCCACTCATCCAGGAGCGAGGTATGTTGGTAGTGCGGCATCTTTGTCGTTGCGTAACTGACGAGTGACAGGCATCGCGCCAAACCTTCTGGGCAACTTCAAGTTGATGGAGCAGTATGCGTCGGCAGCATATTGCTCAAACAACTATGACTCCACCGGAGATCAGATTGAGTGCTCCACTGGCAACTGCCCGCTTGTTCAAGACGCAGACTCTACCACCGTCATCGAGTACAGCCGGTGAGTCTAATCCCAGCCCCCGCAGACGCCAAGGTTCAGCAGGTGTTGAATGGCGATGAACGATCCGGAAGCTAACAGCATACAGAGAGAATGCGATGACCGATGTGACGGGCTTTGTCGCAGTCGATCATACGAACAAACTCGTGGTTGTCTCCTTCCGCGGCACTCACACCATCGAAGACTGGCGTACGAACCTCGACTTCGGCACCACTACAACAGATATCTGCCCAGGCTGCACTGCCCACCGCGGCTTTTGGCAGTCCTGGCTTGATGCACGCGATAGTGTCTTACCCGCCGTGCAACAAGCAATAACCGCCTTCCCTAGCTACAGGATCACCGTAACAGGCCACAGTCTGGGAGGCGCCGTCGCTACTCTCGCCGCCGCCAGTATGCGCACTGCTGGCTACAATGTCGCGTTGTACAATTTCGGATCACCAAGGATAGGAGGAAGTAAGATTAGCTCCTACATCAGCAACCAGCGTGGTGGCAACTTCCGCGTCACGCATTGGAACGATCCCGTTCCTAAGATGCCGTTGTTGACCATGGGATATGTTCACATCAGTCCTGAGTACTACATAAACAAGCCGAGTAGACAACCGGTATCGGCTGGCGACATCCAGACCTTCGCTGGTGCTGCCAATCTTTTCCAGGGAAACCAGGCCTGGTTGATCATGGATGTCGAAGCCCATCGGTGGTACTTCGACATGGTGTACACCTGCGGAGCGAAGAAGTCGAAGCGTGGAGCTTTGGAGATGAGGGGCGTCGAGGGAAATATGGAGGTGGTGACTACGTTCTGATACCCCGGATGATTGCAGGTGTCTTCTTTAACGTCCGGTATAATGTATATTATGTCTAATGCTCGATTCCTGTCCAACCTCCCCTTCCTACAAAATCTTCAACCCCTTCGTCGCTTTCGACATCTCGTGCTAACCTTCCGGTAACAACGCTTCGCTCATAATCTCGACCGCGTACGAGAAACGAATTGAAGCCTCCAGTCCATCTCCCCCTTCCACTGCCGGAGGTATCCGGACTAAACCCGCTACTCTGCCGATCGAGTTGGAGAAACCACCGCCGTTGATGTACCGACCCAATATCGTTCGTCGAGCCCGGATATGCATTGGTGGTACGTGTTTGATCTTCCTCTTCTGTGTCGGTGTCAAGATTTTGATCCGCTACTTCATCGTGTACGGATGCGTCCGCGATACTAGCTTCGTCACTTGAGGTCGCGGGGGTTCGTGTTGCAGAGCTACGCTGGGATCGTCTCCTTCTTCGTCTCACTGTCGGCTTTTTGATTATTTCATTCGATGGGAGGCGTAATATGACCGTGTAATTGTGTGGCAATCGTGTACCGTGTAGACGTAGGCGTATGTATCGAGTCTTGAAAGCTGCCACCAGCTTTGAGCTCTCCTGGCACTCTCCACCTGCAACCTCGCTTCC